TGGTGTTGGGGGGTTGTATGGGGGTATTTGGGGCCGGTATGGGGTTGTTAGTGGGGTTATTTGGGGTTCTGGACCCTTTTTTTTTTCGGGGGGTGCCGACGACCCCTGACTGGTAGGTGCCGACCAGCCGACCAGTCAAGGGTCGCTGACGGTCGGGGTGTGCAACACTGCATGTCAGTTTATAATAACTTTACACTGCTTACAGTACTTTGTATCTGCATTTGCCAAGCTACCAAGACTTGTCTGTGTTGATGGCAAATTCAAAATTTGCCTGGGTCAGCAGACTTAGAAACATGCAATGAGCCCGCTCTCCTTGAGAAGCAAATCAACGATGCCACCATGTCTCAACATGGAGCTCAGAAAATAGTCACCAATGCAAGTCCAGACCTCCCTCAGTCGTGTATTTCACAACAGCGAACCAGCATTGAGATGGTGGCGGACTGCGGCCTCACAGTCCGTACGGGGAGAGCATAGGTGACCTGGAGTCGAGCATGCACGTCACAGAAAGTGAACCACTGCAACGGACAAACTTCACAAAGCCTTTGCAACATCACAAAACGAAAGTTAGACTTCACATGCTCAACCTCCAAAGTCCAATAGTTCACTTCTCAAGCCCACGTCCGAGCTCACAACCCACCATCGCCCGATCTCCCCGTTATGCACCAGGCAATGTAGAAATCCTCCAACTAGTTTAATCCGCCCACGCAGACTCGTCAGGAAGGTGTACTCTGTCAAGTACTTCTGCCGAAAGGAGACACCACTGGCCTTGTCTCTCTCAAATATATTCATCCTTACTTCCTTATTGCCCGTACCATCCTATCGAACTTACTACGTCAAAGTGCCCAATCAATCCCCGTATTCTTCCGAAATGTTTCAGAAAATAAAATGAAATAAAATGAAACAAAATGAAAATTCTACAAAATCTAAAATACCTCTCGAGTTACAACAGCGCGTATCTACCATGCGTCCGGTCGGAGCCTCGTATCCCAAAATGGTCCGAAAACAGACAAAACAAAATATAATTCTACAAACTTACATAGTCTAAAACGGTCCGAAAACAGACAAAACAAAAAAGAGAGAAAATTCAGCAACTTGAGTCATTGTAACTCCCTAGGGGCATCCCAGGGAACGCCTACCTCCTCCCGCAGCTCTCTAAACTGGTGGTTGGTGTCAGATATAACTTCCTTGCCTGTGCCCAGGGATACCCGTAGTCTGGGAAGAATTTCAAAAATCATCCCGAGATCCCCTGTTCAAACCCCGTGCCCGCTACCTAACATCATACTAAGGACCAGCCCCAGGGCACTCAGCAAATTATCCCCCGTATCCTTGGCCAACTTGGCCAAGACTCCGAGAGAGAGAGACCTTCAGAGTGTACCCCCCGAGAAAGCTTTCTGCAATAGCATAGCATTGTCTGATACCTTAAATACCATCCGAACGAAGTGATGCCGTGTTCTTCGTTTCAGCTACATAATGCAGTTGCAAAGGGTCAGGGACTACGTACATCGTCCCGCCGATGAAATTCCGGTAGTTCACGTCTTCATCTTTCACACACAAGCGTCAGATTACTGTCGTAGCACTGCTCGAATCTCTCGAGAATACTGCTCGCTGCTGCCCATGATGTCTTGCCAGTTCTACATCCCTCAATGATGGAAACATCATCCCCAATTCGCCATTCACACACCAGCTTTTCGTCTGTCCCTAGCGAGTTGAGGAACTTTACCTCTGCCATTGCGCAGGTAATTGTGGCAAGTACAGGGCTTGTAGTTCATCCCATGGGTATGCCTACCTGCTATCTCCTGATCTCTTCCTCACAACACATAAACGCATGCCCTACATCACATTGCACCAACTTCAGAATCGTTTCCAGCTTCATCATTACATAGTCGACCTCTTTCACATTGTCTTAGACAGAACACAGCTCTTAACCCTGGTTGCAGTGCGGACTCACTGCCATCCCCCCATTCTCTCTAACACACCCAACTACTTCCACGTCTTCACTTGCCACCCCTTTCAAATGCACCATCGCTTCCAAAATTCCGGCCTCTACACGAGATAGCCCAGTATGCTGGCCGTCCCATGCGATGTTCCTTGAATTTGCCACAAAGGCCGGCATACCAGGTATGTCCGCCAACCTAGTTAACACATGGCCTTCAGGGGTACTTGACTGTGATCTTCCTCTGTATGCTGATCCCAGTCTTCTTTCTCACTGTCCTATCTATCTTAATCTTCAGTGTGTTCATGGTACCCTTCTTGCTAAACACCCCTACCGTCCTATAGAGACTAATGAGCTTAGCCGTCGTCATCCGAGCCATAGACAGTGCCGATCTGGGTTGCTTGAGGAGTCTGCGCAGCACCATCCTGTTCCGCTCGTAGTTGTCCGTGTCTTGTGGATCTTGTCAAACGTGATCTGCCCCCCTTTCTGACAGTGATTTCTTGCATCCTGCAGTTGCATCAATCCATCTCTAGTCCTAATCTCCAACATGTCACACTTAGCTCTAATCTCTTTCCAACCGTCAACCCAATGTTCACCTTTATTGAAGACTACGACCCTTTTATCATCCACCTTTCTCTGCTGTCGATACTCCAGCCAGTTGATCAGCGACGCCCTAGTTCCATTGTCTGTTTCAAACGTAACCACAGCTTTCCCCTTCGTCGAACCTTCATGTCGCCTGCACTCCCTCCTTCCTCGCCTTCTTCTCGTCCTTACCCCGCTCTGTTTTCCAGATCCCACAGTGTTAAGGCACGGTGTTAGATCACGTATGAGATACTTCTCAAAGGCGAAGTCATCCACTTCCATGGTGTGCCTAATCGGGATCACCACGAAGTTGTCCGTGCCAAACCTCCTCATCCACCGGTACAACTTCGGTGCCCTCCCACGTGCTGACGTGTCAGCTGCGAGCACGTGCTGGCGCCATCTGTGCAGTATTGGTCTCGTTGTGCACCCGACGTACATTTTCTTCATCCATGGGGTAGTAATGAGATACGTTCCTCCTGTACGCATTTTCAGAGCATCTGTCCCCAGTTGCATCTTGTCAAGATACTTCATCAGCCATCAACATTCTCCCCTCAAACCGAGCAGTATCATCGTAGTCGCGATGGATCTCTAAAGCCTTGCGAGTGGCTCACCAGTACAGCCTCGCCCCCGAAGGGTCCGCCGTGTGTCCACTTCCCTGATGGGTTTCCAAAGTTCCTTGGTTGAGGGGGGGCACTGAATCAATGTGGGGGAATAGACAGAGAGAGGAGACAATGTGGGGGAATAGACAGAGAGAGGAGGGAGAGAAGAGTTACAGATATGATGCTCTCCCTCAACACAGCCACCATGTCTCAACACAGAGCTCAGAAATAGTCACCAATGCAAGTCCAGACCTCACTCAGTTGTGTATTTCACAACAGCAAACCAGCATTGAGAGAGAGACGAGAGAATAGCAGCATTGGGGAATAGACAGAGAGATGAGGGAGAGAAGAGTTACATTAATAATCAAAGTACAGATATGATGCTCTCCCTCTCCTCCTTCGGGCATCTCCCCTTATCACCCCCAATCAAGGAATGCTCTCTCTCTCTCTCTGACAAGTGGCTGATAAACTCTCTGTGCAGTACCCAATCAAGGCGCCCAACCTCCAATCAGCGCCCTGGCTATGGAGGTTGGCACAGTCCTCCCTGAGTCGTCTTGAAGTCCGGCAGCACGCGAGCACATCAGCATCAGGTACTGGGTCAACTCTTCATAGTGTTGACTCGCGTTGACCGCCTCCAGCCTCATTGTATCGATGGCCCAGATTATCTGAAAGTCAATGGCCTGGATGCAGCGCTGTCCCATGCTTCCCTGCGTCTTGACTGGACCAGAATCTTCTGGATACCTGCAGACAGCCTGTGAGATGCATCATGCATCTGATCATCTACGGCCGTGATGGACACCTACAGGTTGACTTGACTTTTGGCCTGTACCCCGTGCTGGGCCTGGCTCTTGATTTTCCAAGAGTCAACTGTCCGGCGTGGGGGTACTGGGTACAGCACTTGACTTAGGGCTGCATACTCCTTGACCCCACGTGTGCACAGCTCCGTGCATAGCAACGAAGTTGCGAAGAATTATAGGAGCATCAAATGAAAAAAAGACAAGGGGAGGAGAGAGGAGGGAAAACATCAATAAGGTGAGCAGTGCCTTCTGGTCCTACAGCCCCTAGCACGTCTTTCATCAGAGTCACACTTAAAACGAGCATATGAATAGCAAAAAGTAACCCATGAGATCGTGATAAACAAGCGCCGCAACCAGACAATGCAAATATCAAACGAGGCAGATATGATGTTCAGGAGATTCAGACATTTCAAGGACTGTCTCAGACATTTCGAGGACTCAGGACGCGACTTTTGACCCCTCTATCTGACCTTTGACCAAAAGTTACGACCCTGCCAAGCGCCGTACTCGCAACCAGACAATGCAAATATCAAACGAGGCAGATATGATGCTCAGGAGATTCACACATTTCAAGGACTCAGGACTCGACTTTTGACCCCTCTATCTGACCTTTGACCAAACGTTACGACCCTGCCTTCAACTCGTGCAGGATGTGAACTGAGTTTATTGCAAACAGGTCAATTGAGCATTTTTCCAACTCACAGTTTGTGGTGCTTTTGTATCAGCATTCACCAAGCTACCGTGACGTATATCTGTTAATGTCAATGGCAAATACAAAATTTGTCTGGGCAAGGTTGTGTGTCCGCAGATTTCCAAGACCGATTGAGCATGTCTCCAACATTTGTTCAACTCACCATGATTGGATTCACCTCGAAACGCTCAAAGAATATTGGCTTATTCCAATCAGAAGACGCCTTGGAAAGGGATGACCTTGCGAAAGGCACAAGTCGCATCAGAGTTTCCTCATCCAAATTCAATTCCACTGCCTGCATGCACACAAGGGAAGACAAGAAGAGTGTCATATTGCATATACTTTACACAGGATGCATTCGACTTAGTAAGAAGGGATTCATTATTCAATCATAGCGTCCCCGTAATGCAAGTGGAGAATAGGCTAGAGCACTGGCCAAGGATGCTGTCCCTTGACCTGCATCCTTTAGTAGTATATATAGATAGATAGAAGAAGAAAAGAAAATGAAGATAGTGAGGAGTGTATTGTTTAGGCATGTTGTCCTTTACGGCAGAAATAAAAAGCGGAGATGGCCAGAGCATTGGCCAGGCATGCTGTCCCTTGACATGCATCCTTCAGTAGCAGAGAAGAAAGAGAAAATGAAGATAGCGAGGAGTGCACTGTTTAGGCATGTTCTCCTTTATCTCTTTATTTTATTATTATTATTATATCTTAAAAGAAGAAGCAGTCCTCCCGTGAGGCTCCCCCCGGGCCCACGAAAAAAAACGGGAATGGAGTTCTGCGCTCGGTGCCACAGGGGACTGAGGAGGACAACGGGAGGCGCCGAACGGGAGCCTTGGGGCGCATCGGTTCGTGGGGGAAGCAAGCCTAGGAGTGTGGGTGGCGCCTGTTGTACCCGAGCAAAAGGCATACATATGGCAATGTATCTTTTCATGCTCTACCGGCCTGAATCCTTGGCTACAACATGGAAAGATACATTACCGTATTTTTTCTCGTTTGCTCATGTGCAGAGTGTTGGGGGGCGCCTCGAATCCAGATGCTTCGTGTCCCCAAGGTCACATGAGAGCTTCTCTGTACATGCGCAAAAGACAAAAAATATGGCAATGTAACCTTCCATGTTCTAGCAGAGGATTCAGTCTCATTTTTGCACATTTGGAGTGTAGTGTTCGAAAGGGCCTCTGCGAGGATTGAGCCCTGGCAGGGCCCTTATCAGACATGCACATGTTCTGGGCAGAGGCCCTCTGCAAGTCCAGTGCCCGCCCTAAGTGAAGGCGGGCCTGAATATTCACTAGAGGCCAAAATTTGACATTTTCCATATGTGGGTGCTCAGGCTGTTGCAGCACGACAGTTGGTTGAATGGAAGCGTGAGCCTCCCTAAGCTGTGTCGTACAGTTTGGCCCAGGCACTGATAGTTGCGCCTGGGCACATACACACAATGCAGGGCCAATACATCATGAAGTGGTTACGGGCCTACGCAAAACCAGCATTGTCGACGTACATACCCCGGGTCCTGTGCAGATACAGCAAACTGCCGAAGTCTGGAAATGCGGAGTATGCCCAACTGTACAAGGCCCAGGCCCTCAATTGCAAGGCTGGGTCTGGGCGCAGGCACCAGGGCCAGACCGGAAGCTACTGGATGCCTCTCTGCCAGGCCCTCACACAGCTGACCAGGGGCTGCCACTTCCATATAGGAAGAGAGGCAGCCAGGGTCTGGGATGCTGGCCCACGCAGGCATTGCGGTCACGCTGCTGCGTTCCTGCGCGAGAGGCTGCATGCTGCGTTAGCGGCCAGGCCGTGTGAGGGCGCTTGCGCGGTGAAGAGCGGCGCTGCTGGGCAGCGGAGTGCTAGCAGCCATAGCAGGGCTGCAGGGCGCTAGGGGGTAAGAGGGCGATCGGTGGTCTTCAGGAAGGAGGCGAGTGTGGGTGGTCAGGGTCTGATGAGGGGAGACGAGATAAGTACCTAGGACATGAGAGAGGTCGAAACTGCATCCTCCCCTAGTGCATAGAGAGATACATTGCCATGCTTTTATTTCTCCCCCCCCAAACAAGGCTCTGTTCTATTTGTGGGGAGCAGCACGAATCCAGATGCAGGCCATCAGTTCGAACCCAGATGCAGGCCACAAGTTCGAATCCCGATGCAGGGCACTAGTTCAAATCCAGATGCAGGCCACGAGCTTGAAACACAAGTGCAGTGGTGGAGGGTCAGCCTGGAATGTCGAGTGCTTCCGGTGCGTGGAATGGGCTGGCAGGGGACACAGCAGAAGAAAGTGGCCTGCAAGAACGGGTGTTGGCACCGTCCGGCAAACAAAGTGTGCATGTCCCGCATGGGGCTGTCTGGTCCCATCCTCCCATGTATACGCAAGATTGGCCCTGCGACACGGCGTCGCCGAGCCAGGTCCACTTGTGAGAAAAGAAGAAGAAGATAGTCGAGCCCTCTTGTGGAAAAGGGCGGAAATTTGCAAAAGAAGTTTAAAGAACACAATACTACATCTACATACCATTGCCATAAAAGATGAGTGTTGAGCATGCACTGCTTCTTGATTCAGTTCTGACACAATTTGAGAGCACACACTCGCCCCTTACAAGAAATAGATGCGAAGCTTGCAAAAAGAGGCGGGAGGAAGAAGGACAGCTGCACCAAACGCTCCCCTTACAAGAAAAAAACATGAGAAGCTCACAAAAAAGCTCTGCTCGTCCCCAGGGTGTTACACGAAAAAGGCTGGCAAAGGAAAAACAGCTGAATCATGCCAATGTCAAGAAAAAGATGGGTGTTATCAACTTCTTAAGTATGCAACGGTTCTTGACTTCCATTACAGTTTGGGACCTCTGTGGCCATTGTCAACATCGTGTTAGCTCCCATTCATGAACTGCTGATTTCTATTGGTGCTCGCTCCAACTCATGAACACCAGGTTTCTATTGATGCTCGCTCCAACTCATGAGCTGTGGATTTCTATTGACGTTCGCCCCAACTCATGAACTGCGGATTTCTATTGACGTTCGCTCCAACTCAAGAACTGCAGATTTCTCTTCGAAGATTTGTGAGGAAGGCAGTCATAGCAAGCAGCCTCAGAAAGGCACCGCATTCCATTCTGTCTTCTCTTTTGAAATACGAGTAAGTGGTGGTGGTGTCCTTTGCAACATCTGCAACGCTACAATTGGAACAATACAGAGAAGATTAGCATCACCCCTGCACAAAGGTGACATTCACGAATCCGGAAATGATTCAAACCTCTTCTCTTATATACCTTAAAGCAAAAAGCGGTCCGCGCATGACGCTCCCACCAGGCCCAGCAAAAATCGGGCAGGGAGGGGCGTGCGGGGTGCCGCAGGGGGGCGAGGAGGGGCGGGGGGGGGGGGGGGGGCGTATTTGCGATAGGGTTGTGGTAGCGCGCGGGGGTCGCGTCGGTTCGAGGGGCGGCCGGCAGGACACTTGTGGGGCTAGAGCCGGCACCGAGAATCGAACCGCGCCGACTGCCCCTGCAGACTGCCGGCAGGTGACGGCCCGGCCCGCAGGAAAAGGAAGGCCAGGCCAGGTGGCAGGGGGCGGAGAGAGAGAGAGAGAGAGAGAGAGAGAGAGAGAGAGAGAGAGAGAGAGAGAGAGAGAGAGAGAGGATGAGCAATGCACCGGCCAACAGGTAAGTGTTATGAACTTGGTTGTCTGACGATTTTTAACGCCACTCACACACAAATAATCTCATTCACGCCCATACATGCATAAGAGAAGGGGGAGAGGAGACAGAGTCCACACTGCACACAGATCAGAGTAGGCAGCGGGATACAGCTATGCACAGATGGGGAGAAGACACACAGTGTTTCTCTCTCTCTGACAAACTCCCAACAACCAATCACAAGTAGAACCGGCGAGGATAACAATTGAAATTGCACTGATGTTGAACCACTCAAACAGTTATCGTAACAGAGTTTGTTCCAGTATCTCGCCACTCTCAGAACTCACACCCCACTCTCTATCCTACACACATCAGAATGGCCTCCCAGAGGCCAGCGCCAGCCACCCTGATGAAGAACAAGTCCTGCGATGAAGTCTTCAGTGCCGCTGGACAACTCTGACGAAGGAACAGGCAGCTATGGCTGCCACCACCCACGAACACACACTGTAGAGCCTCGATGTAGCCCGGCCAGACGCAGATACCCCAAGGGTAGATGCGCTGAGGATGCCCCAGCTATGGCAGACTCAGACTGGGCCGGCTATGGTTGTTGTCAACGGCGAGGTCTCAGGATGCCGCCTGCAGACAATCACCGCCACCAACTTGTTTGGCTTCTCCAACGCTGCTTTGCGAGAAATGAACTGCCAAAAGTCCTGAATCGATGGGCCTAACCTATCTATAGACTACACTAGACCTAGACCGGACTGACTGATCGACCGGTACCGTTTCTGTTTCGGCCTCTCGGCCTCTACCGGACCCGACTATAGGCTATAGGACCGTCTATCAGTATAGGCCAGTTAGGGCCTGTCTGTCCTAGGGGTAGCCCGAGCCTGCTATACGCAGTTAGGGTAGCTGTAGGAATTCGGGTTAGTACTGGGCCCTTATTTTCCCAGATTTGCAGACATGTCCCTCACGAATTTCCTTACAGGTAGGGCTCTCGGTTAGCCCTCAGCCAAACAACATTACGAATCTGACCTAAACTAGGACCCGACCGAGGCGAGGCCCACGCTTCACCCTCGGCCTACTGTACAGTCCACCGAGAATCTGCAGGTTTCATTACATACTTACCCCCCCGGGGAGAGCGGACCTCCGCGCCCATACTTCACTTTCTGGTAATGATCCAGTAGATGAAGGGGGTTATGGAGATAACACTCTTGCTTGAAGAGGAAAACCTGAGATACTCACGGGGTAACCTATGCCCCTGATCTGTGCTGTAACAGCCAGGTCAGGAGGAGGCAATCTCAAAGTGTTAGTTGGTCTCGATTGCATCAAGAACCACGGATAACCTGGTTTCTGACTATTACGCAATCGACCACTTCTGAAAAGTTGAGATCCGCGAACGACACCCTATTGTTGCAATACAGTTCCTATACTCATGACCTCCACAGTAAACTGTGATGCCAGTAGAAGGGAATCTCGAAATTGCTGGCTATAGTCGTCGGACGGGGTGTATACCCCTTAGTAGACATAAACCGGATGCAAGTCGGTCAGTAGAATTGAAGGACTGCAATAAGAGATTACGAGTAGAACAAGCAATCTCACCACGTGAAGTATGACTAATTATCATCCAGGCTGGCAACAATAGATGTGTTGGTGCTCAACTTATCGAATAGATAAGGAGCCCGGGCAGGATGTTGAAAGCCTGGGACAATAACACTCGCCACACAATGTCAGGAAAAGGGGAAGATTGCTAACCCCGATCAGGACATTGAGTGTCGCCAGAATTTGCACCTGC